AGCAGGATGCTGAATTCCAGCCACGAGAGGAAGGTGCGCTCGGTTGCGAGCTGCACTTTTGGTTCCACACGCACGGGGACGTGGATTCCTGTTGATGAATGTAATCAATATGTGTCCTTCTAAGAACATCAGTGTAGTAGGGGGGACTTACGTTTTCCTTTTGGCGCTTTGAACTTCTTCATTTCGCCGGGCTGCTTCCAACTCGGGACGCCCGCAGTAAAGGCTCCGGCATCGACCTCCGTGGGTGTTGGTCGTGGGATCAGTTTCCCCACGCCATTCCACAATGCATCTCCGAACACTTTAGCTTTGTGTTTTACGACTTTCGTTCGGTATTGCCAGCCCCCGGCGCGTCGCGCCTCTTCTAGCTCATCCTCATCCTCACTATCTGAGTCGTAGATTGGATAGTCGTCCTGTGGAATCGGTTGGGCAGCTATCCGTTCTTCGATATCGAGAGAATTGGGGCCGTCGCCATTGGTGATGGTTCCATAGTCGCGCCGTCGGTCGAGGTCATGCTGTTCCATGACATCGCGCGCGTCACGAAGCCTCTGGAGCCGATCATCGGACGGATTATCGTCTGCGAGTGGCAGCGCCTCATCATCGTCGCTATCCTCGTCTAGGTTACCCCCGCTCGTACTGATATCGTTGCTAGCAGTAGGTCTCGAGATACCGAACTTATGGCTAACAGGCTTGCGGATGTCGACATCCATTTGGGGTGCCCAATACGGCAGTAATTTGATGCGTGATGGGTTCAGTGTTGCAGTACCGTGGATATATTTGGAAAACTTCGGGATTGCTTCGACGAGATGTGAGGCCGTGAGCTCGCGGATCCATTCAGGCGGATCTTGGCCTGCTTGCGTTTGAAGCTTTACTTCCAGTACGGCATAAGGAAAGCGCTCCGCATCTTCTGGCGGAAGCTGGGAGAAAGGCCAATCCACCCCTATGTCGGTCCGACGCCAGTTGTCTCCTGCGCGTTTACGGCCGTCGAGGTTGTCTTCACGGGTCATCGTCAACTCGGTATCGAGAGAGATACGGACGCGAGCGTCGCCCGGCAGCTGGAAAGCTGTGCGGTGGTAGAAGGAACGGGTTACAGGGACGAGGTTGCGGGTCAGGATGCGGTATTGGATTTCCCGTGCGAGCTGTTCATCTGATGCGATCTCCTTCTCTGGCCTCTTATGATCTTTCCGCTCCTTCTCAAAAACCTTTTCGGGAGTAAGTTCCCCGCGAAGATAGGCGTTGACGTTCTTCTCCTTGAGCTTAAACCGCGCCTTGACGGACTCTTCTCCTGTCCAGTCTTCTCGATGCGTTTTCCGCTCGACGAATATAGTTTCACTTGCCATTCCACCATACCACCGCAGACGAATGGCCTCTGCACCTTCCGTCTTCTTTAGACGCCCCATATATAACTCCCACGTCTCTGTGTTATCAAAGTAGATGGATGTAATGGCAGAATCGTCAATCTGAAACTCTTTATTCGGGTTGAAGACGAGCACAGGCAGATGCTTGAGGACAACAAGCTTGAGCTCTGTGATGTTGTCTGGATGCACCCAGTACTTTGTTGTCTGGCGCACAAAGTTTTGTTGTTTCCCTCCAGCTGACGAATCGCCCTTGATTGGATTTCCTCGAGTTCGGACGAGGTCGTAGAGCATCGATAGCTTGACCACGAAGGCATCGTAGTTATCCTGGAAGAAGGGCTTACGGCGGAGTCGAGCGGCGAAGACGGGTTTGAGCACCCAACGAGTGTTTTTCTAGCTTTCCATTAGCACCAGCTGGGGTCATCGGAAACAGCAAGTCCACCCACGTCGTGCTTCTTGATGATCTTCTGGAAACCGGTGTAGTTGAGCTGTGTGAACTTTGCCAGATCGTGAACTTCACTAATAATGTCGCTCAGATCTTCTTCGAGGAGATCGAAGTCGTCTTCAAGAGGATTGTTTTCGCCCGACCGGCCCTGAACCTGGTCGGCCGGAGCCTGATCTGCCTTGGCCACGACATCGCTGACTTCCTTCTCTGACGCGCTTATACGGCGGACAAGCTCCTCGCTCTTGACTTTCTGGAAGGTGTAAACCTTGTCGAGCTCGCGCTCTAGGTGCTCGACAAAGCTCTGCTCCGCCCTTTCATCCCAAGAGCGATGTTGCCGTAGAGCCGTCTTCAGACCCTCATAGTCGATGTAGTGGAATTGCCAGTCCTGGATCAGCGACGACTTGAGCTGCTGGCCGAATCTGCGAGCTGCTGTCAGCGTGCCTGTACATCATCCCGCGGGGGCGCGCGGGGTGGCTGCTGGGGCGAAGGAATGGGGCGAACCTCATGCTGGACACAACCGGCTCAATTCACAACTGCGCGTGTTGTATAAGCTGAACGAGGGAACTTCAAGTGCCAATGCAAATGCAAAGAAGCTATATACAAGCACGCCGAGAGGAAGGTGATACAAAGCGAGAGAGAGAGAGCTGCGCGATGATGCGCAGAACCTGTCACTTGGAGTGGAGCTCAGGTGGAGCTTAGGTGGAGCTTGGGCCCTGATTCGGCAATCGCCAGCCACTCCCCACGACAAAGGAGAAGGCGCCGTCCACGCACGTGTGCCGCTTGCTTTTTGCAGACGTGGGTGCAGCATATCGTCGACCGAACCAGCACCGATGCGATGTCGACGCAAATATACAACCTCAAGAGTGGTAGAAGGACTGTTCTTTGAGATCAACGTATCATGACAAGCGTCCTCTTGACCTTTTAATTGGACCGTCATGTTTGTGGCAACTCCGACGTCAGACATCACAAAATCCGTTGCATCCATCAATCGTCTCGATAGTTGAAGAGGTTTCTCCCCAGAAAGGATGATGAATTCAATAATAGGTAATGCCTTGATGAGCTGACAGGAAGTATACAACCTGGTTAGTGCCATCGGCGACGGATCATGCGATGGCCGTATCGAGGTTAAAGACCTTGGATTTTAAGCATCGGTATGGACTTGGGATCTTCTTTCGACCGTTAATAGTTGTCCGAACTATGCCCTATCCAAGATGGAACCAAACCTAGAATACTACTCCGCAAGTCCGCAGGCCCACTCCGCAGGTATCCCGCAAATATTTGTAATCTACTAAGGGGGATGGCTAGGCATACTGACTATAAAGCACAAAGCCCTTGACATGTCTCTCAATCTTCACTCAAGCAATCCCGTTCTACCAACTCTTTCGAAAACTTATCAGTACCGCAATGGCTCCAATCCGCATCGGCTTCATCGGCCTCTCAAGCACCCAATCCTGGGCTGTCTGGGCTCATCTTGCTTATCTCAAAGCTTCCAACAAGTATGAGATCGTTGCACTTTGCAACTCTTCTCTGGAATCCGCCAAGGCAGCCATAAAAGCCCACGGTCTGCCCGAGAGTACGAGAGCCTACGGCACTCCTGAAGACCTCGCCGCGGACCGCGACATCGACCTTGTGGTTTGTTCAGTCCGTGTCGACAAGCACTACAAGACCCTTTTGCCCTCATTGAAAGCTGGCAAGGACATTTTTTGTGAATGGCCACTTGCGAAAGACGCCAAAGAGGCCGAGGAGATGCTTGCCATTGCAAAGGAGAAAGGTGTTAAGACGTTGGTTGGATTGCAAGCGCACCAGTCTCCCGCATTGAAGAAGATCAAAGATGTCATTGATAGCGGCAGGATTGGGAAGGTGCTTAGCTCGACTTTCCATGGCACGCCCAAGTCCTTTGGCGCAACTGATATGGAAGCTACGGCGTACATGCAAGATCGTAAAGTTGGAGGAAACATGCTCACAATTTACGGCATTCACTGTAAGAATATTCATGACTCTTGACATCCATACGACTGACCATCCCCATATAGCCCTCGAATCCATATCCTTCGTCTTGGGCCATCTCGATACCTACACCCCTCTGTTGTCCATCTCGTGCCCAGAAGTTAAGCTAGCCTCTTACAGTGGCACTCCAACTGGCACTACCGTCAAGCGCACGTCGCACGACCAAATTCTCCTCCACGGCGCCTTCGCATCTGGTGCTGTATTCTCCTACCATCTCCGCGGCGGCGCTGCCTTCTCCAACACCATTGGCCACACGTGGCGCATTTACGGCACGAAGGGTGAAATCCAGATCACAGGCCCAGACTCGTTTCTCCAGATCACAGACGATAATGTCTCAATCGAGGTGTTTGAGCACGATAGTGGGAAGACAGAGACCGTCGAGGTCGACAAGGACAAGTTCAGCGGGGATGGGCTATTCGGGAGGAATATTGCGCGGTTGTATGAAGGGTTTGCCGATGGCAAGGGGGTTGAGGAAGGCGTGTTGGATTTCGGGGAGGCGGTCAAGCGACACCAGTTTGTGGAGGATATATATAAGAAGGCGGGAGTGAACTAGACAGCGTGTGTGCATCGACTCATGGTTGTGATACGTACGAGGGTGTAGGGATGAAGTAGACAATGCGTTTGATGAACGTTTCTTCATAGGTTATCAGTACAGGAATAATCAGTTTGTGCAGGTACCAAGGCGTACTGCACTTGTCTTCTAAAATGTTGCATATGCAAATTACAGATTTCTTAGCCAGATATCCTCTGGTCCTTACGTATCATACAAAGTAGTGCTGATAACTACTATGCCACCACTAATGCGAGCGTGTTCTCTTAGAGCTCCAGACAGTGTAAGAATTAGCATTGTTTAGAGGCAAAAGAGAGAGAGAGAGAGTGTGTGTATCGATTGCGGCAATACTGCAGCAGGTGCATATAAGAAACATGATAAAGGGAAGAGAAGCTAATAGCAGGTGCAGGTGGATCTGGCGAGACCGAATGTGTGTCGGTTGAAGTCGAAGTAGCGCGTAGTTCCGAGGGTGGAGCTAGCTAAGCCCAGTCGAGTTAGTTTCCTATACTTATCTTGCGCTTTGTGTGACGTTTTGCCGAGAAATTGCCGATTGCCCCACTAGGCTTGAAGCACTGTGCGCGGTGAAAAAAAAGGGCCCTCGATATATATTTTGGAAATAACAAAATCTTCATAATTCAAATAATCAGCCTGGCTAGCTCAATCGGTAGAGCGTCAGACTCTTAGATCTAAGTTCATCTGAAGGCCGTGGGTTCGACCCCCACGTCGGGCTTCTTTTTGGATTTTTTCTCTCGTGGGGGTTATCTGACTAAGCGGTCTTGGCACCTCCGCACCCATATGCACCCACCCGCTCTTCCACTCCCCTTTACTTACTTTTGCTACCCTCAACCGCGTAACATCTCCGATACAAGACTTCTTCTGCTTATCCTAGCACCTGTAACTCCCTGGTCATTAGGGACCTCACATAGCAGATCACTGCACAACTCGAGAAAATTGGCTCTTAACCTCTTTACTATACGCTCTACTTACACGCCTCATGCACTGACTCTGCTTCTACACGATTTCTGATCTATTGAGCATGGGTTACTAGATCGATGACACTCTTCATAGTCCAACAAGCGCAAAACCAAATGACGCTCTGCTCTGAGCTCTCGAAAACTTTCCTTCCCACGAGCGCAAACTGCGTTGTCCCTAAATTCGATCCGATCGACATGTTCGATAGTAAGTAGCCTTTGTATGTTTGTATACTAGCATCAAATGCGCCGTCCAAAGTCCTAGCGATCAATATATGGACAAAAGTACGGTACATAAGACCCATGGAATTACTATGCGCTGTGTATACGCTGTTAAAAGTCTTTAACAGACCGCTCTGGTCCAAAGTTGATACCTCTCACATGTCGATGCTATTCTCGATCCTCGATAGAGTAGCCGGACGTCGATAGAGAAGCAGCAGGAAGAGGGGCCTTGCATGTGAACGAATCGATGCTCATGGAATTTGATAAAGTATAGTAGGTAAAAAGCTACCTAGTAGCAAAGAGAGCTAAGCTAGAATATATTGCTATAGTAAACAACTACCTCTAGAGAGGTATACTTAAACTATGCAAGCTGTTAAGGCACAGAATCCATTTCCAATCAAGACAAACTGTAGGCGATCCTCCTAGCTGCAGAGGATTATTCAGAGAGACAGCCTGCCTGTATCCTTACAAATCCCCATTGTATCTAGTATACTAACTGATGTCTAGGTAGGACCTGTAAGGAGAGAGTAAAGTTCACCTAGGTGCGCGTCGGAAACGAATTATATCAGTGGCGTGAGCGAAATAGCGTGGATAGGTTTCAGAAGACAGAGAAGTATCTGTACAATGGTCGTACATGAAGGAGAGTCGAGCTCTCTGCAGCGCAAGCACGCTTCGTATGTGCGTGCAGGACGCATTGGTGTTGTATATTTAGATAGTGTTGTGTACCTAGGTGGTTGTCGGAGACTTCTCGAACGCGCGGAAGTGCCACATGCTGTGGCTGGTGGGGCAGGCATCCTTGGCCTGAGTCTCCCCCGGGTGATAACTGTTTGTTAGGACACCAATCTTACGACTCTGTTCGCCTCCCAATAACTTGCGGTGATTTCGTACGCCTTACGTGAAAAAGTTCATGTCTGAGTTTTGAATTTCGTGCGCCTGCGGCACGTCTCCAGCGTTTGAAAGTTTTGGCCCCGAGCGGAATGCCATACGTTGCAACTTCGTGGTACCAGAGCTCATCTTCTCCACCAACGGTTGAGCGGGCTCTCTCCAATTGTTTCGGTAGATTGGTTCAGCAACCCAGCAGCCTTGGATTACGTCTTGCGCGATGTGGGCGCTCAATTCGCTCCTAAGCTCAAAGACGCTCCTCGTCATCGGCGCTTTCAGCCATATCGGTGCTCTCGCCGGTCCGAGTATAAATGTTGCGCTTCAGGCTTCCTTCAACTCGGCTCCTTACCTGGTAGAGCTCCTGTAAGCTTCCCTTGTTGTGAAACACAAATTTCCCAATTGACCTTATTCAGAGAAACTGCCGCTGAAGAGAACTCGACCGCGTACTTCCCCATCCTCGACCGCATAGCAGACGGCTACTTCGAGCGAGCTCATACCCCTCATGAGCTTTTCGCACTATTTGTACATATCCTAGAAGTCGATGGGCACATTACAGACCTCGAAACCCTCGCATCGTTCCAATTTGCACTTTCGGTCCACTCCGCTGCGCCGCGCATAGAAGCACACTATCAATTCTACAATACTTCGTTGGAACCGTCGCTACATGGAGAACAGGGGCCGGGTTGTGAATCATGGGCATCTTTTGGCGGGAAACAATATTGCTCCCCAGAGTTGGATGAAAGCCGGGGTAGCATCAAGGGCGAACGGTACGCGCATGGCCGGTTTCGGCAGGGAATGGTATACTGATCTGCGAGTAGGACCTACGAGCTACCCTTTGACAGAATCTTAGGGGACAACTCCAATGCTTTGCCGTCAGTACTGTACGCCGATATTACCTCTCCATCGTTCTACAAATTCCACGAGACATTAAGCAAAACGGCCAAGGAAGGGAAAACGTCATACCGTGTTCGACACAAGCCGTCCCTCAACGGAAAAACTTCACCGCTAGTCGTGAATGGTTACGGAGTGGAACTTCAATTAAAGCGGACCGATTATATTGTCATTGACGACCGACAGTCGGAGGGGGTGCAAGCTTCGCAAAAGCCCCTAGGTACCGAACTTCAAGACGATGAAGAAGTCTCGGATTTGAAGCCTCTTTCCAAGGAGGAAGTCTCTGACCTGGGTCTCAAGGCCGCTAGCTTTGTTATGAAGAGCGAACACCCTATGGATACCCTCTCGAAATTGGTTCAAGACTTTCCGAAATACTCGTCCACTATTGTTGCTCACAACACTTCTGAAGACTTTCTAGTGGAGCATACAAACAACCGGGAGCAGCTTCTGCCGTCAGGATACAACATTCTTTGGATCAACGGTGTGCAGATGCCTGCCCGCGATATAAACCCTTTTACTTTGCTGGAGCATCTCCGCCGCGAGCGCAAATTGGTTAACGGGGTCCGAAGTCAGGGCCTCTCCGGACCTGATGCGATCTCTCTCCTCTCGCATTCCGCCATCACGGAGGTCCAAGGGGACGCTGAGCCTCAGCGTTATGACTTTAGGGACGAAGCCGAAGGCGGAAACGTGATCATGTGGATGAATGACATTGAGAAGGATAAAAGATACGAAGATTGGCCTTCTACACTCAACGCGGTAAGTGTCTCACTTCAGTTGCTTCAAACTGTGCTGACATTGCTTAGCTTCTGCAAAGGACCTACCCTGGCCAGCTACCCCCGGTCCGAAAAGACATCCACAACACCATCCTACCAGTCGACTTCACCTCGACTAATGATATCTTTTCTATCATGGAAACTGTTGTAGGCCTCATCAAACGTGGCATTCCTGTCCGGTGGGGCCTGGTCCCAAAGACAACCACAACAGGTGCCGAAAACCAAGCGAAAATCGTATATCACCTACTGGACACATATGGATTGTCTACCTTACTCAAATATCTCGATGCTGTAAGTGTGTCTAGAGCATACAAAAGTTCTTCAGCATTAACCATGTCTAGTCGAAAGAGAGCAAGAAGCTCTCTAGTCCCGACCAAACTGTCTTTGATGCAACCATCCACGATGCCATGCTACGTAAAGATCGCGAAGCCCAACAGTTTGCAGATGTCCTGCAGTCCGAGAAAGGGAACCAGCGCGTTGCAGCAGCAAGACAGTACCTATCACGTCTGGCAGCGGACGGACCGGATGCTCCATTTTTCGTGAACGGCGTTACTATTGCCCAAAGTGATGAATGGTTGCAGGTACTAAGCCAAAGGATCAGTATGGATCTTCGCGAAATTCAGAAAGGTGTCTTCGAAGGTGTCTTTCAAGAAGACAGTTGGCTTCCACAGTACTTTCTGTTCCAGGCTGCACCCAGGCGCAATCCGCTGATCATCCCCGAAAACGAGAAGAACATCACTCTAATCAACATGGCCGAGTTCCAAGAGAAACATGGAGACATTTTCGCGCGAATGCCCCATATTGAGGCCGGTGATACTTCAAACAAGGCTGAGTGGGCGCATTTGACTCTGATAGCCGATTTTGACTCCGAAGATGGATTCACATTACTCAAGTCAGTCGCGCAATATCGGCATGAACATCCCAATATTGAGATGGTTCTAATCCACAATCCACAAGCTGGTGCAGATCAGTCTAACACATCCGAGGACCTTCTGGAGTCTTGGATCAAATCGGGTCAAACAATGGATAACAATATGCTACTCGTCATTCTAGCTCAGGAACCAGTATTCTCGCCTACGCTAGGTAACTCCACTGCGTTTTGGAAAGCAGCAGAACCTATTTACGAGGCTTTTGGTCTGAAGCCCGGCCAACATGCGGTATTGGTAAATGGTCGATTCGTGGGACCTATCGCTGCCAGCCAGATATTTTCCAAGGATGATGTGGATACACTAGTAACTTACGAATCCACAAAGCGGATCCAGCCCCTAAGCACGGCTCTTGAGTCCCTCGGACTCACGGAGAAAATCGCGTCACCGTTCGATATGGCTAAAATTCAATCTCTTGTAGCGCTTTCAACCGTTTCCGACGTTCCGGAGGGCATCTTTGAATCTGCTTCGACACTCAGAATGGATGTTCACAAGAAGTGGCAAGACACTCACACTGCTATCATCAGAGGCGACAACAACACCGCCATAGTTCAAATCGTTGCTTCCGTTGATCCGGCTAGCGAAGTTGCCCAGAAGTGGATCCCGATCTTAAAGGTCCTCTCCGAGATGGATGGCGTATATCTCAAACTGTTTCTTAACCCGAAGCAGATGCTGCAGGAGCTACCCGTCAAACGTTTCTATCGTTATGTTCTAGACTCGAAGCCAACATTTAACGACAATGGAGACGTGGACAACCTACAAGCCCACTTCTCAGGTATCCCAAAGGATGCGCTACTGAACCTGGGTATGGACGTACCACCTTCATGGCTTGTGGCACCTGAAGAGTCGATTCACGATCTCGACAACATCAGGTTGAGCTCTCTTAGCTCCGGGGCAGACATCGATGCAACCTACGGCCTCGAGAGTATTCTCATTGAGGGACATTCTCGCGATGTCACCAATTCTGGGCAGCCACCCCGTGGTGCTGAAGTTGTTCTCTCCACAGAGAAGGAACCTCACTTTGCAGACACTATCATAATGGCTAATCTAGGATATTTTCAGTTT